GAGTCCTGGGATCGAGTCCCACATCGGGCTCCAAGCTCAGCGGGGAGCCTGCTTCTCCCTCTGACCCTCTCTCCTCTCATGCTGTTTCTCTCTCTCTCTCTCAAATAAATAAATAAATAAAATCTTAAAAAAAAAAAAGAAAAAAGAACAACGGGTGAAGGGGAGTGGGAGATACAGGCTTCCAGTTATGGAATGAATAAGTCACTGGAATAAAAGGCACAGCACAGGAACTATAGTCAATGATATTGTCATAACGTTGGATGAGGGCAGATTGTAGCTGCACTTGTGATGAGCATAGCATAATGTATAGAGAAGTTGAATTACTATGTAGTACACCTGAAACTAATGTAACACTGTGTGCCAACTATTGTCAAATTAAAAAAAATTAAATAAAAATAAATGGGATTTAAGAGCATGGCAAATATCCCAGTTGTTTTACCATGAGTTGTCAAGAAAAGAAATTTGGATCACAGCAGTTAAAGGACCAGTTCACCTCCTTTCCCCTTGCCCTGCCTCCCTTCCCCACCTTGTCACATAGACACACAAGGACAGCTTGTGAGTGTCATGGCCTGAAAACAGGCCCAGCAATTTATCAAACCTCCCTTAAAAAAGAGACAATTGGCATGGGCATTTTTACCCAATTAGTTGCACTCACAATTTCTATAGCTTTATTTAACTTCAAGCATAAAAGGGCTGACCAAAGCTGAAAACATGAGCCTCTTTATCCTATGACCTCATTCCTTTTTCTACAACCTACTTCCCTGAACAATCATTCACTTTAGTGACCACACCCTTGGACAACAATTTATCAAAGCAAAACACCCCTCCCCGCAGAACAAGAAATTTTTCTGATACTGTATAGAAATCCTGGCACAGCAAGGGAGCTATCCACAATCTTTGTAACCAATGAAAAGGGAAAAAGGGAAAAAAATCATGTAAACAAAGATAAACCCAAGCTGAGCCTCTGCTATCAATAACACACATAAAAGCACATTCTCGGGGCGCCTGGGTGGCTCAGATGGTTGAGCGTCTGCCTTTGGCTCAGGTCATGATCTCGGGGTCCTTGGATCGAGCCCCACATCGGGCTCCCTGCTTGGCGGGGAGCCTGCTTCTCCCTCTCCCTCTACTGTTCCCCCTGCTTGTGCTCTCTCACTCTCTCTGTCAAATAAATTAAACAAAAAAACACATTCTCCCCAGATGCTTCTAGAGTTAAATTTGGTTGCAAGTTTTAACTTCAAAAGAATGGTAACCCATATGACACATTAAGAGGTCCCTTCTTTCACCAAAACTTGTTTTATTCAATAGAATATTGATGGCCAAAGCACAAAATTATATTTAAAAATGAAATATAGACATATGGAACACTTACAGACCAGGTCCTGTACATCTATCCTCAACGTGGACTCTCCCTGGGATAAGCAAATCGTATTTATCCAAATAATCACAGTGCTTCCTATATAATAGGCAGTTAATAAATATTCAATTCAATGAATGTTATTAAAAAACATTTTATTTTGATTCAATTCTCTCTCATACAACAGAGTTCCTTTGCATACATGGAAAATATCTTGAACTTCATGAAAAGCTAAATTAGTGGATGGGAAATATATATGTTGAGTAATTTTACATCAATGGTGTTCATTAAGGCAGTATTTCATTTTGAGTTAATGATGGCAGGTTAATATTTAAGCTTTTTAAAAGGTTGAGCAGTAAGTTGTTTTATTTTGTTTTGTGTAGTTTCTAGAACTTCATTTATTTACAAGACTGCATTCAGTTTTAAAATGCATCTGTGCCCTTGATTACCCTGTGTTTGATTTTACCTGTCTGTATGGATAAACCTGGTAATTTTAATTCTAGAATTAATTTGGATAATTTCACTGCAAGTATTTTCTATATTCAATTTTCTCTGCTCTATCAATCAGATAAAATAATAACTGAGAGAATAATAAAATATATCTATTAATTATAGACAAGAAACAAAGCAACATTATATCTGGAGAAATTTAAAATATGTTTATATTTATAAATACCATTTTAGTGCACAAGAAAGCATTAGAGGAAAAACATGTACTAAAAAGCCAGAAATAGAAAATACTAAAGTGCTGCAAAAAGCATTTAGTTAAATCTAAAATGTCTACTACATAAGCTAAAATTAAGATCAGGAAACAAAGAAGAGTGACATCAATTTCAGTTTCTCGAAGGGAAGATATTTTACTACTGACAATTATGTATTTTTTGTATTTTATTTTATTTTACTTTATTATTTTATGTATTTTATGAGTAGGCTCCACGCCCATCATGGGCCTTGAACTCACAACCTTGAGATCAAGAGTCACATGCTCTACCGACTGAGCCAGCCAGGCGCCCCAATTACATATATTTTTAAATCTTAGGAATTATCTGAATGTCATCCAAACACTAAAATGCTAAAAGACAAAGTAAAAGTTTAACTGCATTTATGACAACCAACAATTGATTATAATACACATTTTCCTGCCTGTGAGGATCACAAACTCTAGCATCAGAATAGTTGCTACATACCAACTCAAAATGTCTCTAAAACATGGCATATAGAGACTTTATTAAAACATGAAACGAACAAAAAAGGTACATATTGAGTAATATGTACTGTTTTCTTGTGTTTGGCATGGTATATAATAAAGCTGCTGCCTCATCTTACCCATTACATTAACATGAAGGTAATTTCAGATCAAATCTAGGTTCTACTTTATACAATGCCATCCTGCCAAGAAACAAGGAGAAGGAAAAATAGAAGAGCTTCTTCGTCACATTATTTGTGACAAATACCTAAAAACTTTCTTGCCAAATTATCTTTTAGTGGATTTGTAAATGCCCTTTGATATCTAACTCAGTTTGAAATTTTATAGTCAAATTTTCTTTCTTCTTGTTTCACTAAGGGAATGAAACCTTAGTTTTGTCCTTTACTACATATCTAGAATTTCACCTACCTCATCTTCACACAGCCCTTACTTTTCTTTCTTTTCAATTATAAATAACTTTAGACTTCAGAACACTCCATTCCAATCTCTTATCCCAGTTTTTGTGACCATACTTTCTGTCCCTAGGGTTCTTTATAATCTCCTCTATGGGGAACTGTGTTTCAGGATGGAGAGAGTCTTACAAGGATCACTTTAGTAATTATCAGGTAGAAAGAAGAAAAGTCTTGTAAAAAAAACTTGATCAACTTGGTTCTGGGATTATTAAAAAGGAAAGTTGAACTAAGGAGTATCAATAAAGTGATCCTAAAACTTGTTCTGTAATCAATATTTATAATTTGTTAAATTTCTGCTGTTAAATTTTTATCTATCTTTACTAGCAAGTTGACAAGAAAAGAGATTAATGTTTTTAAATGACTATGACAGATAGGGTGATTTTAGCATTTCTATAGTAATGGTAACTTGTTTTTGCCTTGTTTTGGGGCTATTAAGGAACATAGATGACACCCACTTTGTTGTTCATTAACATCCTAATACTAAATATTGAAATGTACATTCACAATATTATTATCAATTATGCAAAGTAGTATTTTTTAACTTCATATTTTTCTTTCCTTTGACTTCAATACAGGTGGAGTTTTTCTCAACTAGGAAATTACTGAAGTAAAATCTTGGATTTTTTCTTAATATTTTTTCCTCAAGCTAAGCATGAAATATCAGTAAAATTGTGGCCTTTGTAATTGTGTTATCTATGTCTTTAAAAATTCTTTTAGGGGCGCCTGGGTGGCTGAGTTGGTTAAGCAACTGCCTTTGGCTTGGGTCATGATCCCAGGGTCCTGGGATGGAATGCCACATCGGATTCCCTGCTCTGCTGGGGAGCCTGCTTCTCCCTTTGCCTCTGCCTGCCGCTTCCCCTGCTTGTGCTCTCTCTCTGTGTGTCAAATTAATAAAAAATCTTTAAAAAAATCAAAATAAAAAAATAAAAATTCTTTCAAAAATAGTTTTATTTTATACTTTAGAATTTTGCTTCATATCCTATTTTAAATTGTGGTTTTGGGAAAAATAACCCATATTATTCCAGATCGGTAAAATAATGAACATCAGATAATATCATCCCCATGGTTGCTTTTTGAACTCTTTACAGTATAAATTTTATCTTGAAAACATAATTTTAGTTTGGACAGATGTTTCCAGAAAGCTCAAAGTCATGCAAATTTACATTATGTCTATAAATGTAAAGGGATTCAAAGAATGAAAACAGGCAGAGCTTTTAATTTTATAGTCTTGCAATGTTCCTTTACATTCATTGGCAAGATTATTAGAACAGATAATGATACTAAAATAACCCCTTAAAAGCAATTTTATTTCATTTTAAAGGATGTCTTAGAGTTCTGCTTTTTTAAGCTTTTATATAACAGTTTCTTACATCTTGCCTTCCTCAATCCTATATCCACTCTTTCAATCCTCTTTCTACCAATATTCATAAATTATTCACTTTGGCTGTATTAAGAACCAATGTGTCATTTTTGGAAGATGAAACACATATGACAATTTGAACAGATATTTGTGCATGTGACTTATCTAGGAGCAGCATACTATTTGCTGAATACAACTGCTCATCACTCTATGTAACTCATTGTCTCTGAACTACCATATTTGATATAAAAAATCTGTTTACTTCTGAAATAAAGTGATTCAGTGGGACCCTATTCTATAAAAATTATTGTATTCAAGTTGAGGATTGCTTTACGGTAAGGGCAAAGGAATACCCCAGATCAGATATTTCAATCAAATCCAACCAAAAATGAGTCATCCTAGGCTCTAGTTAGATTATAAAACTCACTGGAGCTGTTAAACAACCACGGGCACTAGTAAATGAAAGAACAGCAAGAGATGGAATTTGGGTAACCGTACATTGCTTATATAGCTGCAATCCCCCAAAAGATAACATCCTGTAGAACAGAGGCAGAGAAGCAGAAAGAAAAGAAATGAGGTTAAAAATATCCCCTCTCTACAAATCACACATAGTTATCTTTATGGTACCTGAGAATGGTTGCTCCAAACCAAATTTTGGTAGGAGGAGGCAGTTTTGAGAGGAGAGAGCACTTCCTGTGAGGTGATGGGGTCCAAGGCCTGAACCACCTTGTTCATGGGCCCACTGTAGGTTCTCACTCTCTCGTACACTACATTTTTTTCTGGTGGGTGCTGGGTTTGGCTTGACTGATGGTAGCAGTGGCAATGCTGGGGCTGGCACTGTAGCACCTCTGGGGGCTGTGGAGTTCCACAGATGCTGCTGCTCATCTCACTCCAATAGCTTGAGCTCATGATGTTCTCAGTGGTCAGCAAGGTACTTCCCAGATGCTCTCCCTATGGAACAAACAGAGAGAGAGAACGCTCATGAATAAGGGTAAGAAGGAAGGCAAGCAGGCACACGTAGAAGTCATTTATCAACCCCCTCTGCCTGGAGTGGTGCCCTGGAGAGGTTAGGGTTACCTGAGCAGCAGCAGGAACTGGTCTGGCAGCTGCAGAGGAGGAAGCAAAGTTATTTGAGCGCAAATGAAAAGTAGAGCCACCCTGTGAGATTGCTCCAGGAAATGGTACCGACACGCCCCTCAGGGGTGGATTCACCTGGCAGGTTTACCTGCCAGGAAAGGCCCTGCTTTGCCACAGAGATACAAAGCTGCATTCAAGTAGGTAAGGGAGTCCGGAAAGAACAGAAATTAGGAATTTTAGGGCTGAAGCCAGAGCTTCCAAGTCCACAGTCTTGGAAATTCATTTAACTGTAAATAGACAAACAAAGACATGCTCATGCCTAAACTTACTAGAGAAAAAATCACAAACGTCACATGAAAATGACTTTCCCATGGTTCTTAAGCTTACCAAAGAGAATTACAGGCATGGGTATTATCATTCCGGAGTCCCAGACCAAAATACAAGGTATTAGCCTAGGGACACACCAATTTTCACAGATAAATTTGCATTCTTTGCAAAGCCCAGCTGGTAATTTCAGTTAAGGAAGATTGCTATGGGGTCTCCTTCTAGCAACTCTAATTTATGGACCTGTGTATCTTGCTCCAGGCCTCATATTACTTTCTAACATATATTGAAGTAGATTGTCTAAATGATTGAATTGTTGTCTATAAATGGGAGATTGGTCAAAAAAGATCTTACCATTCCACAAATGCTTTGCGGTTCAGCATTTACATTTATTGTTTTGCATTTTTAAAAATTTTTAAAAAGATTTTATTTATTTATTTGACAGAGAGACAGCGATAGATGGGACACAAGCAGGGGGAGTGGGAGAGGGAGAAACAGGCTTCTGGCTGAGCAGGGAGCCCGATGTGGGGCTCAATCCCAGGACCCTGGGATCATGACCTGAGCCGAAGGCAGACGCTTAACGACTGAGCCACCCAGGCGCCCCTAAATTATATTTCTGGCAGTTATTTTGTTTTACTCCGTAATATAGATATTTTATGTTTAGTACTGAAAAAAACTCATTTATATGATAGATTTGATTTCCCCTTAGAACTGATATACCCTTAGAAACTAATTCAGTTCTAACAGATTTTTTTTAAAAAATTTTGTTCCTGATTATAAAAATAATTCATTCTTTAAGAATTCAGATAATTGGGCACCTGGGTGGCTCAGATGGTTAAGCATCTGCCTTCGGCTCAGGTCATGATCTCAGGGTCCTGGGATCGAGTCCTGCATTGGGTTCCCTGCTCCTTGGGAGCCTGCTTCTCCCTCTGCCTTTCTCTCTCTCTCTGTCTCTCATGAATAAAAAAAAAAAAAAAAAGAATTCAGATAATTTGGGCACCTGGGTGGCTTAGTCGGTTAAGTGTCTTGCTCTTGACTTTGGCTCAGGCATGGTCTCAGGGTGGTGAGACTGAGCGCCATGTTGGGCTCTGCACTCAGCACAGTGTCTGCTTCTCTCCCTCTCCTTCTCTCTCTGCCCCTTCCCCCGCTCATTTTCTCTCGCTTTCCAAAATAAATAAATAAATCTTTATTTTAAAATATTCAAATAACTAAAGAGATGTATAAAGTAGAAAATGAAACTTCCCATATTGATGGTAGGAGTAAGGGGTGGGCTAAGGATCAGGAATGTTTGCTGTATACATTATTGGTAATTAAAAAAAACTGATTATATTTGACTGAGATGTTTTGAAGATCATCTGAAAAAGTCTTGATTTTACCTACCTCATAAAACTGTTTTTAGAATCAAATGAGAAACTGTCTGCTAATTATAATGCACTATCCATGTATAAGCTTTTAAATATATTACTCACAGATGATGTGCGTGATATTTGTAAAATAGTAGGGTTTGAAAAGCAAATATGAATGGGCCTAGTTTTTGAAAAGCTTAGTTACCTAAAACCATTGAGGTAAAATAGATCACTAATTAATTTACCAAAATGGATGTACAGAACTATCTTAGAATATTAAACAATGTAAGTAATTATAACTTTAACACCAAATGAATTTCATCAGCATCAGCAGTAGTGTTTTTACATGTATAACTAATCCTGTACTCCACCTTCTGTTTTATGGGAATGACGCCCAGGTTTATCTCAAGCCCCGGCCCACTGTTGAGGCTCATGGTGTAATGGCAAAGAGTAGAGAGTTAAAGTGAAGTTACTCAAGTCTTTTTACTTCTGTCTTCTCTATGATCAAGAAGAAGTATGTTTATATGGAAAGAGTCAATAATTGTTGGTCAGAGAGAGCTGAAGCCCAAGATAATGAGATATTGTATGAAAGCACCTATGTTTTACTAAATGAGTCCAGGTCACTTGATCTAGCAGAACTCCATTCCAGCCTTCTGACAGATCTTAAAGTTGAGCTTGCTTAACTGCTGTTGGGAAACTTTAGACTGAGAAATGTTTCAGAATATTAGATATGAGAAAACATTGTTTTGATTAAAAAAAATGAATGGTGAAATTTACAAACTGAACAGTTTAGTCTGACATCAATTCAGTGAAAAGTTTTTATCAAATTATCAGGTGTTTGATGATACACATACTTAGAATAGAAATAAGTGATCTCTGAAATACCTTTGGTTATCCCTTATCCTGGTTTCTGAATCTCAGTCCTTAAGTAAATTTTAACTGTGGCATAATTTTGCTCAGAACTAATTACAATGTTCCAAGAGCCACACTAGAGAAAACCAGACTCCGATTCTAGACAAAGTAAATCACTCCTCCATATGATTTTGATGCAGTGGAACAGAGACCAAGCTTCTATGATTCTGGCAGACCCCCCAGGGATATCTGACCTTTCTAAAAAAGATAACTTTACAACAACATTTCTCAAAGTATGTCTTGAATAACACCAGAATGTTATATCTAGAAACGAGAAGTGTTTTGTCTCCCAATGAGTTTAAGAAATACTTGGTTAAATATAATTTGAGAAGTAGCTTTACTGACATAATTATAGCTTTTCATAAGCTAATATACACTATGATCTTCTAAATGGGTGATGTGATGTATAGAGTTTTTCAAGTTTTGTTGGTGATAGAATATATTTTGTGTGAAATAACCTCGGTTACTTTTATTTTTCAGATTTTTTCTTCTTTATGCTTTTTTCCTCCATATACTCTAAACTAAACTCATAAAGCAAGTGGAAATTCACATCTAATTTATAATTCTATCAATATCATGAAAACATACTAAAGAACATTTGATCAAGCCATATCACTATACCAGTGATACTTGAAGTGAGGTCCCTGAGCCAGAAGCATTAGCTTCACCAGGAAAAGTTTTACAAATGCTAATTCTTGGGCCCCACCCCAGATCGCCAGACTCAGAAACTCTAGGGTGGGGCTCAACAATCTGTTTAACAAGCTCTGCTGGTGATTCTGAAGCACACTACAATTTGTAAATCCCTAAATTATACCAATATGTTTGGGGCAGTCTTGGATAAAAGAGGAAGATGGTAATGCCAGAGAGATGAGACTTTCAGTGTATTAGGTAAGAACTCATAAGCAGCTCAGGTGATTAAAAGTTTATAATAGAGGTGATTGGTAAGAGTCAAACTGTTTTATATATATCAAGAAGTTAGAATGAGAATGAACTACGGTGTAGTACATCAATTATATCTGTTATCTGATGTTAAATATAAAATATTCTTGTTTTAATAAAAGGAGAATATTGGAGTATACCAAAAGACTATATACTGTGATGAGTGTAGCTTTGCAGTCAGACAGACCTAGATTTAAATTTTAGCTCTACTATATATTAGCTCTATGGTTTGGCAAATCATGTTACTCCTCTGAGCTTCTATTATTCTCAGTGAAATGGATAATAGCCCCTAACAAAGGATTTGTTGTGTAGATTAGATAAAATGCATGTAAAGTGTTTAGCATGGTGTTTGTTACATAGTAGCCATACAATAAATGGTAGTTCTTAAACATTCTGCTCTAAATTTGGTTGGGGATAAAGGAAAAAGAGCTTGCTATGGATTTGCAGATGGAAATCTGATTAAAGCAGAAAGTAATATATAAGGCAGGCTGGACTTAAAAAAGGGAAAAACAACAGAAGTAGGGAAATACCAGATAACTTAGTCACAGAGAAGCCCCAATCAATTTAACAAAAAGGAGAAGGTATAAAGAAGCTTGATTGTAAGGCAGTCATCTATAATTTAAAAAGCTTGGCTAAGATGAAAGAGTTTAGTTAGGAGGTAAAGTCTTGTGATGTTTGTTCTAGATATCTGTGTGCAATGTAGAGAAATTATAAGGAGTTTTATTATCTTGGGGGTGAGTGGCTATTTTCATTAGGGGGGATCCATTAGAGTATCTTTGATTATCAACATCTTTTTATTGAAGTACAATTAACAGAGTGTTATATTAGTTTCAGGTGTACAATATAATGATTCAACAATTCTATACATTACTCAGTGCTCATCTAGGTAAGTATACTCTTAATCTCCTTTATCTATTTCACCCATTCCCCCACCTCCCCTAATTCTGTACAAAAGTACCCAAATCAAACAGAAAAAAGGAAATAATAAATATAAAACTGTATTATGCTAAACGAAATAAGTCAGTCAGAGAAAGACAAATACCATATGATTTCACTCATCTGTGGAATTTAAGAAACAAAACAGATGAACATAGGGGGAAAAACAGAGAGGCAAATCATAAAACAGACTCTTAACTGTAGAGAAAAAACTGAGGCTTGCTGGAGGGGAGGTGGGCAGGGGGATGGACTAAATGGGTGATGGGTATTAAGGAAGACGCTTGTTGTGATGAGCACTGTGTATTATATGTAAATGATGAATCACTAAATTCCACTCCTGAAACTAATATTACACCACATGTTAACTAACTGGAA